ATTTTGATGTTTTCTCTTTTTACAACGGGGTGTAGTTGACCAACAATTAAAAATTATTGGTTGTCCACTTTTGGGCACTCTGCTCATTTCCTTTGAACCTCATCCACACTCACACCAGCAACTGTTTCCTCAACAATTGGTGCACAGCAGCGGCCGGGCCACTTGTACAGACAGTGGGTGGGTGATACCAAGTTTTTTGCAGGGGAGAGGGTCGGGGGGTTGCATTAAAACATGCAGCAATTTTACTAAAAAATGTAAATGAAGAAAATTAATTATTGATGTAATTATGTATACTCAAATAATGCAATTTTATTGGGGGGTTATATTGACTGGATCAAATTACTGGGGGCGTTATAACCCCCCTAACCCCCGTGTAAATTATGCGGGTGCCCTCTGATGCGTGAATTGGCAGCACTGGTTTAACAACACAAAAACAGTAGCAAGCTTCTACCAACAACAAGCTAACAAAAAGCTAAAATTAATTAATTAAATAAATTTCTTCRTTTTTTCCTTTTTGCAAAATTTTAAAAATTTTTGCTCAAAATTCAAATTAAAAATGAATGGAAACAGGGCTACTGTTATCTCTCCCTGGTTGGTTCACTCTTTCGGCACACTCCCAAGACAGTAATGATGTAAAGCCTGGCCCTTGAAGACATCTAACAGCAGCTTGGCTAGCGCTTCTTAGCAAAGTGTGCTGACGCTCTTCTTCATCACTTGACCATTTAACACAATGTCATTGGTTGAGGAGCTTTGTTTCACAGATGTCCACGTTTTTTTTTTAACTGTTTGAATTTCCTTCGTTTCTAAGACACATTAAGTTGATTTGATGCTGCAGTTTGCCTTGTGATATTATTTATACCTTTTCTGCTACATTTGCATTGGCTATTATTAAGTTTTATTAGTTTTCAGGACACAAGATGCTTCATACAAAAACCAGAATGTGAATCTTTTCCTAAAATTTCATGGCGATATCTTAAACACTAGGGAAGTTATGAGCAAAAATAGATAATAAGAAGGTGAAATGGTCACAAAGGCCCCATTGGTTCTGCTGTGAACTGCAGCAAGAACACATGAGCTGATTTCACCTAAACAAACATCAATAACTTCACTCCTACTTGAAATAATCACATGATTTTGGTGTTATTTTGTAGGGTTCACAATGTTCTTTTGGAATCCGATTTCAGATGTAATATTGGTGTAGGATTAAAAATGTATCCACATCCCTAAATTATTGCAGAACTAAACAAATGTAAATGAAAATGTCAAAATTTGCACAGAAATACGTATAATGCAGAACAGTTTAGATAGTTTAACAAAAATGAAGTTGATATTGGATTTAGTTGCTCTTAAAACAGATAAAAGACCCTGTGTTGTTTTCAGGTGTGGCGATTGCGTTTGGAAGATTTTACTGTAAACTCAAAGAAGCTCTCCATGCAGGTGAAACAAGCCATCCTATGAAAACAAAAAGAAAAAMCATCTGAGTAACTGTTACAATATTAGGAGTGACTAAATCTACAGTTTGGTTCATTCTAAGAAAGAAAGAAAGCATGGGTGAATTCATCAAAGCAAAAACACATGGAAGACCAGATGAAGTCCAGATTGAGGGCATTTAAGATGACTTCCTTGAGTTATAAATGTTTTTAATAGTGATTGTTTGCATTGTCTTTTAATTGTGCAAGTCTGTGTACAGTAAATGTATAATTTCTGCTGCCTCTTGGCCAGGACTCCCTTGAAAAATAGATTTTTAATCTCAATGGGACTTTTACCACAGGTGGGAATTGGCCAAAGGAACACACCACTAAATTTTGGTGATGATCCGATTCCAGGAATTATTTGAAGGATTTGCAGGATTGGGTAAATTGGACTTGGCAGAGGTTTGCACTCTCTGAGTGCTTCTAGTTGATGATGTGACACAACAGAAGCAGACATATGAATTCTCAAATGTTCAGAGACAAACTGCTCAAATCCAGACAAATGCAGCCAAATTGATTGTTCTGGGTTTCATAATAGAGTTGGACAATGACCCAAAACATAAAGCCAAAACAACCCAGGAGTTTATTAAAGCAAAGAAGGAAAATATTCTTGAATGGCCAAGTCAGTCATCTGATCTCAACCCAACTGAGCATTTCTCTGGATTTCAGATAGAAAATCCCACAAAAAATTAGCAAATGAAAACCACTGCAGTGGTAATGCTCTACCAGGACTGCCAAGTCCTGGTAGAGCATTAAAAAGGAGGAAACACAGGCTGTCTGGTGATGTCATGAGTTTAAGATGTCAGCTAGTCATTGCCAACAAAGGCTTTTCAGCCTAGTATTAGAAAAGAACATTTAAAATGATTTAATTTGTCTAATAACTTTTGAGCCCCTTAAATGAAAGGATTATGTTTAAAAATGTTTTAGTTCCTCACATTTCTGTGTAATAATTTTGTTCATTTTGAATTAGTTGTGAGTCTGAACTTCAACTTTATTCCTGAAATGTTTTTTTTTTCTTCAAAATTCGTTGTGGTAATGTTTAGAATCAAAACTAGAAAAATGTTTTCTCTGTCCAAATACATATGGACCTAACTGTATAAATTACTGTATGTATGTAAAGATGAAGTACACATGTTTGTATGAAAAAAATGTGATTAATATTGAATAAATACGCTTTGATTGAAAATCATTCAGGTTCTTTACAGACTTCAGATTTAACTGTTTTCACRAATGTTGAATTAAATTAGTAGTTATTATCAGTTTAATTTATTGTAAAAAAATAATACAAATAAATTGTGACACAGAACCAGTTGGGTTTGATGTAATCAAATCATTGCTTTGTTGGCTGGGAGCTGTTGCCCTGTCCATCTTTCCTCCTCCACAATGCCACAGTAGAATGGAGTCACTCAGTCCACACAAAATGTTACCAATACCCAGGAGCTGCCTGTAGGTGGTGAGAACATCCACATTAACAGCATATACTGTAAGTATACAAAGAAATAACATGTCAAGCTTACAAAGTTTATTTGTGATAAAATTTGATTAAAGACAAACAGAAGTTGAAACATTAGTACGAAATGGCAGCTATTTCTGCTTTTTAGCTGCATCGCAATTAGGCATATAATTAGCTAGTTTTAATAACATTTGGGACTATCGTGATAACTTTTGGTACAATGTCCTCATGCATCTCAGTAATCCAGGTAAAAAATCAAAAAGAAAAAAATTGTATCGGTCTTCTGGACTTTTCTGGACTCTTCTTCTGGAGAAGAACCCGTCCCGAAGACCTATACAATTTTTTTTCTTTTTGGTACAATGGCAATTGGTACTAGGGTATATTTGGTACTATGGTTAAAACTTTGTGGTAATAACACTTGGTACAACAAGTGCTCTGAGAAAAAATATCTAACTAAAGACAAAGTTGCAGGATGAAATCTKAATTGGGAGGATATTTGTGTGTATTTTTTATTAAAGCTGTTTAAAGTGGAGGTATTTGTAGAAAACAGGAAGGTAATGGTTTTGTAAATGGTCATTAGAGCCTTATATACAAAGCTGACCTGAAAAACACGCCTTTTTTCGGCTCTTTTCCTGGTCAGGAAATGGTCTCTCAGACAAGAAAAAGCGCCACACCGAATAACTGAATATTTTTTTCTCTTCTTCTTCTGGTGGTGACTGTAGGAGTTACGGTCTGTGGCTGATTATTCTTGTATTATTGGGGTTGTTATCAGCTAACAGATGCAGCACACATAATCCTCCGTGTACTCTGCCCTGAGGTGCACGACCTTTAAACACGAGCCGCGGGCGCGCGCCCCGCAGCTGCGCTATAAAGTCAGCGTCAGCGCGCGCACAGGTGAGACTGCAGCTGTGGACACGCGATGCTCAGCTGCAGGTGAGMACTCTGCCTCGTGCTGCTGCTTCTTCCTTCACGAACAGGCAACGTGCTTTATTATTTTGATTCTTTTTTTCCCTTTTTGCGCTCCTTCCAGTGCTCATCATTTGTAATCTGCTCATCATAAACAAAGGTTCGTGTTCATTTTCACAGAACTAAGTCTGCGTGGATCAAACTGTGTTAGTTCATGGTAGTGATTGGTTTTGTTCTTATATTTATAATTTAATGTTGTTTTTATTGATGGTTTTGACTGTGTGAGGCTGATTATTTTTTTAGACAGTCATGGCACCAAGACCAGAAGAGGGGACTCAGTCCACTCCCACTATAAGTATGTCATTTTCCCTGGAAACATTAAAAACCTTATGCACATACATACCTACATATAAATCCTGTCTGTCCATCATTAGATGACCAGAGTCAGAGTAAGGATGAGGCGCTCCCACCAGCTTACTCCACCTTGGACCTGGTGAGCGAGGAGCCTGCTGAGGAGGACCCCTGGGATCTGCCAGAACTCAAAGACACAGGGGTGAAGTGGTCAGGTGGGTGAAAGATCTAACATTCCATAAAGAAATGCATTTTGCACACTTCCCTGCTGGAGTTTTAAACTCTAATCATTTTTGCTGAGAAACAGCGTACTTACAGCCTCTTCAGTTCTTGAGACTAAAATGTGCAAATTTAGAAAACACATGCTCCATGATCTGTTACCACTAAGAGTATGTGTTGTAAATAACTCTCAGCTATGTTACCTTTTAGCTAAATATCTGGAAAAATGACTGACAGCCTTTTTTTTTTGTTTGTTTGTTTCGAAGAACGTTGATTAGCTGTGATGTTCGTCTATGGATTAACTTAAAATGTAAATCAGTTGTAGAAAGCCATCCAGTGATCACTTCCTGAGATTTTCATTCAGATCAGTCTGGGAGTTTAAAAGATATTTTGCTAACAGGGTTGACTTGAGGACCTAATGCCAAAGTTTTCTTTTTTATGACTTATAATATAAGTGGATGACAGTGAATTGTATTTCAGTATGTGTAAAAGTTATAAGCATTTCTGTCTTTGTTGAGGTTGGTGGTAGGTTTCAAAAGTTCATCAGTAGTTATAATTTTGATTCTTTCTTGACAGTTTCAGGGAGACAAACATTATCACCCGCCTTCACCATTCAACAGCAGGTGATTGAAAACCATCCCTGACTCAGTGTTTTATGTTTTCCTTCCCCTACAGATTTGGACACAGGAGGAAAGATAAAGAGAGTTCTGACTGCTATTGTGAAGTTGATTCTGCTGCTTGGATTACTCTACCTGTTTATTTGCTCCCTGGATATTCTCAGCTCAGCGTTCCAGCTGGTGGGAGGTGAAAACCCTTCATTCCATCTACTACTGTAGACTCGTGATCGATTGCTGCACATTTTCCTCACATGCCAGTGACTAAAGCAGGTCCAACAAGGTGCCTTTGTGTTGTTATGTGTGTGCAGGTAAAGCTGCTGGGGACATCTTCCAGGATAATGCTGTGTTGTCCAACCCTGTGGCCGGGCTGGTGATCGGGGTGTTAGTCACAGTGCTGGTGCAGAGTTCCAGCACCTCCTCTTCTATTGTGGTCAGCATGGTGTCCTCTGGATGTAAGCAGACTTTACAAACTCATTATTCAGACACTGAGAACAAGCATCAGGAGCTAAAGTCCAGGCATGATGCTGCAAATTTGTGTTTTTGAGGATCTGGGATTATCAACTCTGTCACTTAAAGGGATAATCTGGTCATTTTTTTATGTCATAATCTGTCAAGAATGCATTATTAGTATTTAACAACCAGGAAATCAGTCACAGAGCACAGAGTGTTGGAATAAAAAGGGGAAAAGTTTTCATCCAGGCTAAGCTAATTGTTAGCCTGGGGGTTTGCAACATTTACTATTGCAAGAGCCATTTTTATGATTTTTCCTACWAATGGAATTTGCATAGAGCAGGGGTCTGCAACCTTTACAATCAAACAAGCCATTTGTGCTCCTTGTCTCACTAATAAAATGTGTCCAGAGCCGCAAAACAAGCTACAACTGTGATTATCAACTGGTGGTCCGTGGGCCTTTTCAAAGCCTTTCCAGTAACATTTACAGTCAGTGGAGGTGACATTATAAAACTAAAAAAATTGTTATTATTATTATATTATTTATCATTATACAGATCAGGATAAATAAAAAGCCCATAAAAATGTAAACAACAAAACATATACAGTATATACTGTATATAGTTTATACTGAATTTAATAAAAACTAGAACCACTTAATTTATACAGGCATGTTTTTTTCTAATTCTTGTTAAAATGTAGTCTTCAAATTATTTAAAGGTAATTCTGATGGATTTGAGCGAAAGATCATAGAAAGAAATTGGAATATTTAAGTAAACAACAGGCTAGCATGAGCTAACATGTTTTACTTTTTGTATTAATAGTATTGATTACATATTTGCATACAAATTTTTTCTATTGTGGGTATAAAAAAC